ATCTAGTGAATGCTTGTAACTATCTTTAATGTTATAAGCAAGTTAACTTTCATTGCTGAAGAAATTTTTAGTAATGAAGCAGTGATGGAGAGAATTTGCATTCTAAAGAAAGAATTGCTACTTTTGATCTGTATTGTTTCATAGATCAAAATCATACAACACATACACCAATGGCTTGCTTAGGTTTGCCTTCTTAATGTTTTACATTCTTCTAGTTCTTGATAATAAGTGTAGAATACATCCCTGTCTAGAGGTGGTTAAGGCTACATACCTCCTGAGAGATAAGTGGTCGAAGGCATAGCCCAAGACCACTTATCTCAAGGAAGTGATGTACCCATAACCACTTCCAGACTAGGATGTACCTGACTTATGCCATGGTACAGTATTGCAGTATTGTTCTAATGTAAACTATGAAACCCCACTCTCTTCATTGCAGTATTTTTTTAATGTAAACTGTCAAATTCCACACTGTCAGAAGGGTGGTTATCAGCATATAACTCCTGCTAAACATTGAAGATTTCCATGGTAGACACCCACGCTCCATAGTATAAGAAATCATAATAATGCTTGATTATAATAATTGATATCATAAGTGTAAACTTGTAATAAAATTTCTGTAAGACCATGACCACCAAAATACTACAAGAGGTGACATTAGGCGAGGAGATAATACTACACGGAGAAAGAGAAAGGTTAAATTATTGTATTAAAGTAAATTAATAATATTTCCACAATCAGAGAAGGAAAGAAAGGGGGTGTCAGTTCATGCCCAATTAATACCTTGAATATGAATGGGGTCATATATTTCACTTCGCCACTTGTGGAATTCCAATTCCACATCACATCCTTCAGATGTTTGAGGGACTATTAATTCCACATCGTGGAAAGGTTCCAAATATAACAATGTATTTGTTCAAAAATACAAATAATCCTAATATACAGAATAAATTACTGATACTCATTTAATACATTAATCACATTTCTGCCAGTAACATTCATAACATTCTAGAAAGATCCTTTAATGTTAACAAAGTACAGTCAGCCATCTTATTTTTGATGAAGGAAGTTACGACACTTACTTCTCAAGTAGAGTCTTATCTGGGCATAAATACCCCTGCAGTAAAAGAGAAACTGATGGATGCTGACCAACAGGGTGGCCTTTGACAGGAGGTAAAGTAGCAGACAGAGTTGACCTCATTGAATTCATCGTTGAATATTAAAAACCTGAGTGAAATTCCAGAGTAAGGAATTCAATTAGGCAGTGCCTCCTGCGCCGTACGTGGTCCCTTGATATAATGATTAAAGAGCCGACCAGGAAGCAACGCCATTAAAGCGCCTCTTCATTGCAATAGTAACAATGGCCACTGGCATGACTGCAACTGCTGACACTCTGACTGTTGAAGGGCCTCTGAGTGATGGTTGTTCTGAGCCAGATTTTAAGATTGGAAATAAGTTTCACTCTTTTGAAGATCTTGAAAGAAAGATAAAGCAGTATAAGAGAAAGCATTACGTGAAACTATGGAAAAGGGATACAAAGACAGTAGAGACAGCCCAGAAGAGACTGGATAGAGTGTTACGCAAAAGCATAAAGTACTATAGTCTCATTTATTCCTGTAAACATGGAGGCAGACGTTTTAAACCTAGAGAGGAAGGAATAAGAAACACACAGTAAGCGCCTGCACATGCATGGTGTTTTGGTAACCAAATTGTCACGTTGTGCTAATTATAATTCATGTTTGCCCCTATGTAGGACTTTTCGGAAGGATTGCAAATTTGAGCAGAAACTTCATACAGCTGGTGATGGTAAAAGTCTACAAATAAAATCATTTACTGATGAGCACAACCATGAAGTTTTAAGGGTATGCATATAAGCAAGAGTAAATACGTAATCTACTCTTGAT